GGTCCAAACCGAAATTATCGTACATTTGGCGTACGATCATGGGTCACGATCGTACATCGTACGGAGGGTCGAAATTATCGTACGCGTACGATAATATCGTACGCTATAACATCCCTGTATGAAAGTGAAGGGAGTGGCAGTTCAATTTTTCATACTGTGAGAGTAAGCGCGCTAGTGTTTTGAACTAGTTGCACTATGGATCAAAACCAGGCAACCAAGCTCCTCCTTCAGTTTTTCGTACAGCTCAAGTAGCTTCAGCAGTCCACGCCAATCCGCCGTCGTGGGAGTTCCCTACTTGTACCTGGTGCTTTAGGAATCTGACCACTGTGGTTCGACTGGTCTCGTTCCGAACTCAGAAGTGGCTCTGCGGTGGGATGAGGAAAGTACTCCCCATTTTTTTTTGTCCGGGTGGAGGGATTGATTGATTGATTGATTTAAATTTGATTGTGGTCCACTTAATGGGACTAAAAAGTCCCACTACAAAGTAGACCCGCTCTCAAAACAAAACGGGAGAGGGGGCGTGAGCATTTCACGACGCCGAGCGGCCTTATTTCTACAGACGAATCTGAAGCTGCCAGTGGCCGTGTCGTCGGTTGTAGCCACAACTGTGCAGCTACAAACAGGGACGTCACTGAGCAATACTCGGCAGTACGGCAGTCTCCGCAAAAGGGTGGAGAGGTCGGGGAGGTTTGTTTGGCGATACCCCGTGCCTCCCCCCCCCCCCCCACCGGGCGGGGTGGGGGAGGGGGTGGCATCTCCTTTCTTCTGTAGCGGGAGATAAATTGCTCGAGACGCCCATATCCGCCTGGCTGAAAGCCAAGTGGTGTCCTCCAGACCAAAGACACATTATCTGCTCGGGGAGCCCCTAATGGGTATGCAGCCGGCCCAACAGATGTGCGCCGGCACTGCCTACCCCCGCCACCGCAGGCGCTCCACAGGAGGAGCTTGCGGGTAGAACGCAGAAACAACATGCTGGCGAAACCACGCATCTCTGCCGTTCCTCCGTCAAAGCAAAGCACGCACAGCGCGGCGGCGCTGGCGAAACCACGCACCTCAATTTTTTGCGGGTGATTTTTGAGAACTGTGCCGTTGGAAAGAGGACGTTTTCCTTCCAAAATATATAGATTTCTCAAATTTTTTGAAAAGCTTCGATTCGTGGTTTTGCCAGCGCCTAAGAACTGTGCGTGGTTTCGCCAGCGCCGGAGCGCCGTGCGTGGTTTGCAATATGAGAACAAGCGATATGTTGGTCGAGGAGCCCTGCTTTCCACTAAAAGCCGCCTCAATTCCGCATATTATTGGCATTGGAGCAGCTGAAGCAGGGATGGTGGAGAGGGTGGACGAGTGGGGGCAAAAAGATGGGACAGCGAGAGGAAAGGGACACATCAAGCCGAGCCAGAGGAAGGTGATTTTACGACCGATGGGACACGATGTCAAGTATGAAATTGACTTTTCCAGGGACGCGAGGCAGCCTTGTTGACCACGTGACTGCACTGCAGGAGTATTGCGATCGGCTGACACGAGGGTAAACGAAAGGTCTTCTCAACAATTTATGTACGTTTTATTTCACAAATTTCCCATCTTCCGCTCTAATTCCAGCAAACCCAGTCAGAAATGAGGGCAGCACCGACCGAGGAGGCCAGCTTCCGTTTCCCGCGCTTGTTGAGTAGCGTGCGGGCCCCGCAGCGCCGGGGCGAGACGAAATCGACGGCCTCGACAGCGTCCTCCACGCTCACGGCGCGCACCCTCGGCGACCTGGCGGCCCTGCAGAGCGCGCGCACCGCAGCACTCATCGTGGCCTCGGCGCGCCCAGGGCGCCCCCTCGACACCACGCACAGGAGGAGCAGGGGCAGCGACGGGCGCTCGCGCTGGATTCGCATCAGCAGCGAGGCGAGGGGGTCGGCGTCATCCTGGTCCGCCCCGGCCACCAGCAGCACGGCGTCCCGCTGCCCGAGGTCGGAGAGCAGGCGGCAGACGTCCTCGAGCAGGACGACGAGGCCGGCTCCTGGGCGCGCCGTGCCCGCCACCAGCACACCCTCGGGAACACACCGGCGTACCGCGACCGTCAAGTCCACCCCGTTGTCGTCCCCGACGATCTCCAAGCGCCTGGGCGTGGTCTCGTCCGTCACGACGATAGCGACGGGCAGCTGCACGGTAGCTGCGGGCAGCACAGCTGGGCAGCTGGCTCGTCGCGGCGCGTCGTTGCGGCGCACCTGCACCTGAGCGTCGCACAACCGCTGGCTTAGAAATGCGGCGAAGCGTCCTAGGGCATCGCACTCCGCGGCCAGGTGGCAGCTGCAGGCGCGGAGGTTCGCATTCACGTCGGCTGCGCAGCTGCAGGTGCGGCGCACAGTCTCCGGCGGAGCCACGTTCAGGACCGTGTCGCACACGCTTATGGCGTCCGCACTCTCGGACCCCCAGGACGTCAGCGAGCAGGATGACGACGACGACGATGGCGACGAACTGCGCGACGAGTGATCGCTGTCAGCCGTGACCAGAGCCGTGCCGCAGCTGCAGGCGTGGCAGCTAGCGCACGCGGGGTGCAGCAGCGCCATGCAGCCCGTGCACAGCCAGCCCCCGCGCGCCGCCCTCCCGCACTCGGCGCACAGCCCCACGGGCGAGCCCGACCCGGAGGGCGAGCCTGTCCGCAGCATCGTCAGCTCGCGGCGTGGTCCAGCAGCGGCAAGCGCGCGTCCTCGCCCAGACGCACCTCCGACACTGCGGAGTGCACCCGCCGGGTCACAGCCAAACATATCTGGAACAACCCACCGAGTGGACAATAGTCAAATAAGTTCATCAATGCGCATCTGCCGCAATACTTTAATTGGTTTGCACCGTGTAAGGGGTAACATTATGCGGGTTTTCCTACTCACTCCATTCGTTGGGCGCCTACGCCCCAAGGGTATACACAAAACCTGCTGGGTCGTAGCCCTAACACATGCTATGAACCGGATATTTGGAGCATTTCACTGTTGAAAAATTGTTGGGATTTTACAAATATTCACTCTCAAACACTTTGGGGAATTCCCTGGGCACTTTGTTTTTTAGATTCTAAATAGCCTACAGTTGGCGCGCTAAGTGGAGCCCGCTTCCTAAGTTTAAAAAATTAAAATAAAATGTTTAGTAGGCTAAAGTGTCAACTGTGGATCTCTTACTCACTTTGGTGTGCAAATTCAGTTAGTTGCGCCAATAATATTTAAGTTATCAAGTGACATCAAGTATCATCAAGTGACTTATATGGGCCGGGGGTGTCTTGTCTCACCTTTCGCAACCGGCCGACTGCGGCGCGAGCAGGGAGCTGCCGAGGAGGCCGGCCGGCCGGGGCGACGGGTCTGGCGAGCAGCACGGCCAGCATGTCGGACATCCGCGCCGCCGGGAGGGTGCGCGCCGACTGGTCCGCCGCGGTGTACGCCGTGCGCCGTGTACACCGCGGTACAACGCCATACGGTGTGCGTACACCGCGACCGCCCTCCCCGTGTTCCAGCGGCCGCCGTGTCGTCCCGATGATTTATTCACGCGAACACCACACCGTATACATCACACAAGCAAGCCCGCAAAGGGTGCAGCAGTCGTCGCCTACCCTTCAGAAAAAAAGAATGGAAAAGAAACAGTAGAAAAGAGCAAAGCAAAGCCGTGCCTGCCACCCTCCCGCGCCGCGCGCCGGCCGGCCGGCAGCCTTGAGGAGGACGGTGACCGCGCTGTGATGATGCTCGCGGTGCTGACGAGTTGGCTCCCGGGGCTCGTCCTATAGGGGGCAGTGGGCAGTTCGCCGCGCTCGAGCGGGCATCATGGGGTCGTGAATGCGGGGAAAGCTGCTGACCAGTGGGGACATCGGCATAGCCAAGCGCACTTCCGGGGGTGTAAAAAAAATAAGAAATAAAATAAAAAGTTGTAGGGCTTTTGCCATCACGCAGCGGCGGACGCCATCTGTCCAGCGTACGGCGGCGGCGGCGCCCGTTCCGTCAATGATTAAAATTCTAGTCGCGCCATAACGTATACGTCGTCGGATGGCCCTTGTAAAAGTTATTTGAATTTCCTGGAGGCACGCACGACAGTGGTGGGTTTGTCGGAGCGAGCGAGAAGAGGGAGACAAAGTGGGAAAGAGAGGGAGATAAAGTGATGCGTGTGGTGCGTGTGTGTGGCGTGGCATCGTGATACGACGTCCAGAGTAGCGCTGCTCCAGCCGGCTCCAGCCCAGCGACCTACTTACCCTAGTGGTACCCTCTCTCGCTCCAGAGCAGGGGCGCGGGCGGGGGAGAAC